TTTCAGAACAACCTATTGCCTAAAGCAGCATGGATATCTAAGGAGCAAAAGGCCATCTTCAACAGCAAGGTCAATTGTATGGAAGAATCTGGGAAGACAGTTCAGGTGTGATGTTAACTGTGTATGAATAAAGCAGGAATTCCATAGAACTATCTTCTGTTTGCTTTCTCTGAAATGCACCATAGGAACCTACGAAAGGGAACATAGGATTGCAACCTTAATTAAGCAGAATGTGGCAGAACTGGGACGGAAAGCAGAGCTGTGTGTATTCCATGGTGCACAGTGAGAAATAAGATTAACCCTGCTTTCCCATATTCATAGTGTTATGTACTGAGTTGAATAGGATCCAAATTGCAGCAGTCTGATTGGTCCTAGAACAATAGGATCCAGAATGCAGCAGTCTGATTGGTCCACAGGAGCCACCCAATCCAACTCCAGGTGGAAGTGAATCTGCACCCTGATTGGCCTACAGGAGAATCCCAGAGTTAGCCAATCACGTGGGGCCCATTGTGTAAATAATGTATATAAACCAAACATTTTGGAGGAACTTCCATTCCTCCTCACTACTATGAGCTGAATAAAGAGCATGAAATCCACATTCGACTCCGAGTATATTTCACATAGGAACACAAGAAGGGCTGGATCAGGCCACAGACCCATGCTTCCTCTGCTCCTACAAGCTTACATTCACTTCTCTTCCAAGACTGGAACTTCTTGTATATGTGTTCATTAGTACAGAATTCACAGGAGGTTTTGCTGATGACAGCCAGCAAACCTATTGCATTTCTAAAAATATAACTATTTGGAAGGGAAAGCCAATTGCTCTTTAGCATCTCTAAGGACAAGAAAGCAGCAAGCTTTCTTAAGACATGTTGTCTGCCCTCAATGTTATCTTAATGACACATTAAAAACTTTGGCAAATTATGATCATCCCCAAGTTTTCTCAGGAGTCGATTCCAGTCATTATCCTCTCAACATAACATTACTGGCAGAAAACAGAAGGCAGCTGGAAGTGATGAACTTTCTCGGAGCGCAGGACATGTAAACAGGGGTGTTTGTGAGGGCGCTTGGGGGGGGGGGATACTGACTGCTGTCTCATGGTGAGGCATGGACAGCGAAGGAGCTGCCGCTGTGACCTGCAAAACCTGTGCTATGTTTGTCTTCCTGACTGAGAATGTGCAAAAGTACACCTGCAGCAAGTGCGAGACTTGCTTGAAAAATGGTAGGGCAACTTGAGGCCTATCTATCCATACTTTGAACTGCTGGACAAGATATAAAAAGGTAAAAAAAAAAAAAGGTAAAGGACCCCTGGACAGTTAAGTCCATTCAAAGACAACTATGGGGTTGCGGCACTCATCTCGCTTTCAGGCTGAGGGAGCCGGTGTTTGTCCACAAACAGCTTTCCAGGTCATGTGGCCAGCATGACTAAACCATTTTGGTGCAATGGAACACTGTGACAGAAGCCAGAGTGCACGGAAATGCCATTTACCTTTCCACTGCAGCGGTACCTATTTATCTACTTGCACCGGTCTGCTTTCGAACTGCTAGGTTGGCAGAAGCTGGGGCAGAGCAACGGGAGCTCACCCCATTGCGGGGATTCGAACCACTGACCTTCCGATCAGCAAGCCCAAGGGGCTCAGTGGTTTAGACCACTGTGCCACCCGCTCCCTCTGATTACGAAATTCTCGAATGCAGTAATGCAGAGCAAAGGCCTAGCTTTCCCTGCATCCTGTTTCTCACAGTGGCCAGTCAGATGCCTATGAGAAGCCAAAAGCAATAGCCACTTCATGTTGTTGTTCCCCAGCGACTGGTTTTCAGAAGCACCTGTGTTAGGACTGGGTTTGCAAATGCAGCTGTCTAGAATCCAACACTCTATGGGTGGTATCCGACTCAGTCGTGCCCAGAGCTAACACCCTGAAAACAACAGACTTAATCATTTGGACTTCAAGAGTGGATTCCACATTTTTGAAAGAAAGCACAGTTAAGTTTACATAAGATCTCATATAACAAAACTTGGGAACGATCTGGTCAAAGCTAAGCACTTCAAAGTCCCTCTGATTTCAGAGGAAGAGTGTTAAGCATGTGCTTAGGTCTTCCCCTTTGAGATCTATGAGGAATCAGACTGTTTACTGGATGATTCTTGCCCGCTTGTTCTTTAAGCAAAAGACTTCACAAACAACGCATTCCCTTTCAGGACAAATGAGCCGAGGCCATCAATCACGGACGTCAAAAGTGCAGATGGATCTTAATATTACCTGTGCAATATTACCTGAGTACCTCAGCCTTGAGGTGAAATTGATCTTGAGATACCTATTTCAATTATAGAGCCACCTCACACTGCTGTTTGGGGGAATCTTTCCTAACAGGCTACTGACATGCAAGGGGTGTGCGGTTTCAGGTGTGGAAGAGTTTGGAGAAATACCTGCTACTGTGGTTAATTGACTTGGTGTGAGACATCCACATGGGTGTGACGCTTTAATTGGGTGTGAGGAATCCTGGAAACCAAGCAGATGAGTCAACACACCTCCTTCCATTCCTTTCACTTAGGGCAGGGATAGTCAACATGGTGCCCTCAATATGTTTACTGGACTACAACTCCCACCATGCCTCGCCACTGTCAGTGCTGACTGGGGTTGATGGGAGATGGAGTCCAACAGCCTCTGAAATCCACCATGCTAGCCAATCCTGATGTCCTGTTACACGGCTCTATCTGCCATACAGCGATATCTGACACAACGGTCTGCAGATATCACCTTCAATGGGATGCAGATGAAGGCCAGTTTTGATGCCTCAGTGGCGGAGTAGCTCATTGGGAGAGCCAGGGCCGGCCCGTCCATGAGGCAGACTGAGACAGCTGCCTCAGGTGGCAGAATCCAAGGGGCACCCTGACACCACCAGAGAAGTGGGGCTCTGGCTTACTTACTGGGGTCTCAGGAAGGTCATGTAATGCCCCTAGGTATCACCAGGTAGGAACAAGAAGAACTCTCTGCCAGAAACCTTGGAAAGCTCCTGTCATTCAGTGTAGACTGCGCAGCATGAAGGATTGAGGACAGAGAAGAATCCCGAGCACCGGAATCTCGAAAGCCTTTGGGATGTGGACATACATCTGTTCCTGTGCCCTTTACAACTTCAGGTGTGTGCCAGGTGCCCAGATTTTCTTCATCATCTCATTGGGTCTTTTGATGCTATTCCAAAGGGAGAATGTGCGTACATGAGGAATGACAAGGAGCTGAAGATCTGTTTGAATAACAGGCAGCCAGGGCATGAGATATTGCTTTGTGGCTTTGCGAATGAAATGGCAGTGGTCTGCCTTTCAACAAAAACTTCCGGATTCAAATCATTAATTATTTCTCAGTCATTACCTTCATATGCACGCACAACATCCACAATATAAATTTCTTTTCCCTTTCAAAATCACGGAAGGACGTGGAGGAGATCAAATGCCTTTAAACTCACCCCCAAAAAACATTATTCGACTTTTATGAATTATTCTGTTCCGTATGAAAACCCTTCTTGAAAGACTTTTCCTGGCGTAAAGCAAAACAGGTGTAAAGCATATGATGCAATAATACTTTAGCACGTTTCCAGTTCACGGAACAGAACACAGATGGCTTCATAAAGGTGGTCATCCCACTGGAATAAACCACATTTGTTTTTCTGTTTTTAGTTGTTTTTTAAATATGTTTTTATTAAGGTTTTCATTATTATTATTATTATTATTATTATTGAAAATACATTCAGTGCCTCTATTTTCAAATCATAGAGTTTCATACAGGTCAGTTACAGTCAATTTGAGACATTTTTGTTGTAAGCAACAAACCACATTTGTTATGCCTCATCTAGGGACACTTTTTGTTGTTGCAAGGACACAACTGGTATTAGTATTATTATTATTAGCTCACCCTTCACCCTAAGGTCCCATGTGATACATGTTAGAATTCCTGCTCCATGATTGCAGTCATGGGATTTTTGTCTATCACATGACGGTGTATGTTTTGACTCCACAGAGTGGGATGTGATGGAGACAGGATGTTTGTGTTACTGTGTTCTGTGAAGTGGGACTATTGTCCTTTGTTCTTTCTCTTTGCTGTCTGATACTAGAGAGAGAGGGAGCCATGTTGCAGTGCTCCGTGTGTGTTTATATGTAAATAATAATAATAATAATAATAATAATTTATTATTTGTACCCCGCTCATCTGGCTGGGTTTCCCTAGCCACTCTGGGCGGCTTCCATAGAAACCAAAAATACACTAAAATATCACAGATTAAAAACTTCCCTGAAATAAAGTAGATTAGCCAAAATGCTGAGTTGCTGGGGTCTGTTACGCAAGCTGCAAAGACTCTATGGACCCCTAAGTGTGCCGATGTCTGTTGGCATCGGTCGCTGTGATGTTCGGGCAGAAGAAAGCTTTTGAAGTTCCCGAACAATCGACCAGGAGGGAGGGAACATGCCAGTCGGGCATGTGTCTCTGCCAGGGTCCTACTCAAAAGTAGGACTAGCTTCTGACAATACATTCCTTGGAAGGGTGTTCCTAGTGAAGTATGCATTGAGTTCCTTTGGCTACTAAGAATTCTTGCTTTTCTTTTTCAGGGGGCGCATGAGTTTCTAGTCCTCATGACTGCTGAAGTAAAGCAGGGGTAGAGACCCTGTGGCTCTCGCAATGCCATTGGACTCCATTCTCATGGTCAGTAATAATGGGGCCTGGAGTCCTGCAACATCAGGAGGGGTGCAGATTCCCCATCACAGATTTAAAGGGAAGTGTCCCCTAAAGTGTTTTCAAACTGGAGGAGTTCTGAGAAGGATCTCTCCCGAACAGGGAATGATATTTATCTTCCCCCCGCCGTGACTCCCATTTGCAGCCACTATCCTTCATACTTATGAGTCCCATAACTCAGTCTACTCCTTCTTCTTCTTCTTCTTCTTCTTCTTCTTCTTCTTCTTCTTCTTCTTCTTCTTTTCCAGTTAGGCAACAGGAGTTATGTAACCAGCATAAATGAAGATCTGGATAGCTTAGTTAGTTAGAGCATGGTGCTGACAACGCCAAGGTTGTGGGTTCGATCCCCGTAAAGGACAGCTGCATATTCTCACGTTGCAGAGGGTTGAGTTTGATGATCCTCAGATCCCTTCCAACTCTACAATTCCATGAGAACCACTGCCAGGCTCCTATAAGATACCACTTTAGGTGTAATAGCTTTAACTTTCAGCCTGAGATGAGTTTTGTGGGCAGGTTTGGTGAATAATATGGCAGGTTTGGCAGGTTCTAGGTCTATTGTTCGGACTTTTGAGATTTTATGTGTCCAGAGGAGTCACTCAATCCCTAATCGCTTGGTAAAAAGGCAGTGGCTTATGTCACTATCAGAAGCAGCAATGCTTTTAAATACCAGTTGCCAGAAACTGCAGGAAAGGGGGTGCTCTTGTGCTTGGGTCCTGCTTGCAGGTTTCCCACAGGCAAAAGGTTGGCCACTGTGAGTAAAGGTAAAGGTAAAGGACCCCTGGACGGTTACGTCCAATCCAAGGCAACTATGGGGTTGCAGCGCTCATCTCGCTTTCAGGCCGAGGGAGCCGGCATTTGTCCACAGACAGCTTTCTGGGTCAGCATGTGGCCAGCATGACTAAACTGCTTCTGGTGCAATGGGACACCGTAACGGAAACCAGAGCACACGGAAACACCATTTGCCTTCCCACCGCAGCAGTACCTATTTATCTACTTGCACTGGTGTGCTTTTGAACTCCTAGGTTGGCAGGAGCTAGGACAGAGCTGTTGAGATGTGTCCAAGGAAACGGGGGCAATTTGCAGGCCCCCAGCTGTCTCTGGCCCACTGGCCGGTAGCTGAGCGATCTCCGTTCCTTGAAACAGCATCAAACAGTGACCCACAGCTTCAGAACTCTTCAGAAGCTGGAGCACGCTCTAATCAGCAGAATAATTAACTCTTCGTGGCGGAAGGGCAGACAGAGGCATATGTAAAGCATATTTACAAGCAGTTTATTCAGCATAGATCAAGACAAAGAAAACATGTCTGCTCTCCTTCATGTCTAAGAGCAGGAAGCACTAAGCAAAAGCTATACACAAACGGAAGTTCCCAGCAATTTGTGCTGGAATGTAAACAGACATGTGACATACAACAATCCACATATCTCTTCCTCTTAGGTGAAACGGAACATCAATACCCTAACAAGAGCAACAGGAGCTCACTTCATCACAGGGATTCGAACAGGTGGGCAAGCCCAAGAGGCTCAGTGGTTTAGACCACAGCGCCACCTGCCACTGTGAATGCAGGATGCTGGACTAGATGGGCTGTTGGCCTGATCCAGCAGGTTCTTTTCATGTTCTTATGCTCTTCAACACATTATATAGGGAATTAAAAGGCTGTAGCTGTATGCCATGACATGAGGGGATATAATGTTGTTGTTGTTGTTTAGTCATTTAGTCGTGTCCAACTCTTCGTGAACCCATGGACCAGAGCACGCCAGGCACTCCTGTCTTCCACTGCCTCCTGCAGTTTGGTCAAACTCATGCTGGTAGCTTCGAGAACACTATCCAACCATCTCGTCCTCTGTCATCCCCTTCTCCTTGTGCCCTCCATCTTTCCCAACATCAGGGTCTTTTCCAGGGAGTCTTCTCTTCTCATGAGGTGGCCAAAGTATTGGAGCCTCAGCTTCACAGGGATATAATAGCCATTCCTGTTCTCCCTGCTCTTTCCTTTCCCGAAATCCGCAATATTACCACAAATTATCCAGCCCAAGAAATGGCACTGAGTTCAAAGGCCAAGAAACAACATTGGGCTCAATTATGCAGTTTCTGGTTTGGCTTAAGCAAACAGGCTTTATAAGTCAGATGATATACAGTGGTACCTCGGGTTAAGTACTTAATTCGTTCCGGAGGTCCATTCTTAACCTGAAACTGTTCTTAACCTGAAGCACCACTTTAGCTAATGAGGCCTCCCGCTGCCGCTGCACCGCTGGAGCATGATTTCTGTTCTCATCCTGAAGCAAAGTTCTTAACCCAAGGTACTATTTCTGGGTTAGTGGAGTCTGTAACCTGAAGCGTATGTAACCTGAAGCGTATGTCACCTGAGGTACCACTGTAATCTGGGCTTGAGAATCCTTTGGCTATAGGAATTGGAATTTACCAGGACTCTAATTCAAGGAAATTTAAAAAGAAATAGAAATGGGAGACTTCCTCTTTATCTATAGCTATGATCTCAAGGGCTGGTTTTGGGTGTGCAATTCCATGCCACACTGAACCTCATAATTGCAGTGGTTGCACTCATAAACTGGTGTACAAATTGCCTTGACTAATCCATTCTGCAGGCAGTGGTTGCCCTCAGCCTAGGAGCCCCATAAACGCCAAATACCTTTGCCAGTTGTGGTATCCAGACAGCAGGTTGGCCAGCCATGTGGTACATAATAGCTACATGTGAAATTGAAAACATGCTGCTAAGCGGCCATCGTTTTCATATATCCTCCTGCTCAACCAGTTTGCTTGCAAATGCATCTTAATAAATTATAATAATAATAATAATTTTTTGTTTATACCCCGCCCTTCCCGGTTCAGAAAACCGGGCTCAGGGCAGCTTACAACAAATTTAAAACACTTAATTGATGCAACAAAAAACAACTTAAAATACAGTATAAAACATGAATAATAATAAATTCAGAATTAAAAAATCAATTTAGGTGGGAAAACCATCCAATAAACATTAGATGATCACCAGGGCTAGCTGGCTAAATTAGTCCTATTTGGGCCAGCAACATCCAGTGCACCTCTCTCTTTCTCTTGAATCAGTAAACAAAATTCCCTCTCCATATATACCTAGAAAAATATACAATTCACACATTGGTAGCTTCACGATTGGGCTACTGGCAGATGCAGTGAATGGACCGTCTGAGTGTGCACATATTACACCTGTGTTGAAGGAAATGTGCTGATTACCAATCAGCTACCAGGCCATGTTCAAGGTCTTGATATTAACAGGTTGTTACAAAAGCCTGCCCCTCTTTCTGCCGAATGGTAGCAAGAGCCTATGGGGTCCTAGGCACCCACAAAGGGTCTGTGTCCCTTTGGAGAACTGAAGACACAGTGGAGACTGTTGTGGCTTTAAGAAATGTGGTCTATTCAACTATTTACATCTGCATGAAGGGGGTCCAGATCTTACAAAAATGGCCATTTCAAGAGGCAGCAGTTGAAGCAGCCTGCAGCCAGCCCCCTCCAAAGATGTATCGCTGCTCTTTTTCCCAGAAACCCCTTGCCCTCTCCCAGAGCAGTTACCCTGGCAACCTCCCAAATCCCCAGTGTCTGTTCACACCTGGGGCAAGGGGGACTGGAGTATTGTTAATGTTCCTCAATTGCTCTCTATTAGCTCAGCCACAGGAATTCCTTTGCAACTTACATTCTCCCTTCATATCAAAAATAACCAAAACTCTAGCATTTATTAATTTCTAGGCTTTACCCTAGGGACACGGGTGGTGCTGTGGGTTAAACCACAGAGCCTAGGACTTGCCGATCAGAAGGTCGGCGGTTTGAATCCTCGCGACGGGGTGAGCTCCCGTTGCTCGGTCTCTGCTCCTGCCAACCTAGCAGTTCAAAAGCACGTCAAAGTGCAAGTAGATAAATAGGTACCGCTCCAGTGGGAAGGTAAACGGCCTTTCTGTGTGCTGCTCTGGTTCGCCAGAAGCGGCTTAGTCATGCTGGCCACATGACCCGGAAGCTGTACGCTGGCTCCTTCGGCCAATAAAGCAAGATGAGCGCCGCAGCCCCAGAGTCGGTCACGACTGGACCTAATGGTCAGGGGTCCCTTTACCTTTACCTGAGGGTTTACCCTAAATCTATAACACCATAAAATCCCCAAACAACTCTAGAGCAGCTGAAATACTACCTGGCCCTTACAGACCTGTAAGATCACTTAGATCATCCAGAAAATTTTTACTCTTTACACCTGAGGAGCCATGTCTCTGCTCCAACTTGGAATGCTTATTGCAGATCCCACTTCACCTTGGGCATGCCAAGAATTCTTCTAAAGTTGCCTGTCTGCTACAATGTCTTTTTCTTTTTGCATGGCCCCTAGCAATGCGTGACTCACTGACTGCACAGCACACCTGATCGGTTGGAAATACTGCGGTTTCACACTATCACACAGATGCAGCTGGGAAGCAGCCCAAGACTTTATTGAACATGAGTTATGAATTCTGACAGCAAGACAGAAGAGTAAGAGGTGCAGCTTTCCTCGTTGCTCGACCCCCATGCTGAGTATGGATTCATCTTACATAAAGTGCCAAGCAGCTGACAAGCAATTAGGAATCCTATTTTTAAATATATATATATATGGCAAGCTGAGATAGCAATAGCTGGATTCACATTGGTTGTTGCTTTGTTACTGGAAAAACTTGCTTGCGGTCTGCAAGGACCTGAAAGTGGAGAATATCCTTGTCCCTGAACTTGTTGGAAGGCTGACTTGGAAGAGCCAAGTGACACAGGGACTCTCATGAGCAAAAGTCAGGATCTACAACACATTAACTGTTAAGTTTTGGGTGAAAATATCAGACAACACAGCAATTCTTCAAACAGCTCTTGTTTATTCACAGGCCAGAACAGAACAGAACTGAACTGAAGGGTTCAGCCAGCCTGCTTATATAGAGCTCCACTAGTAACCATTTTCTGTAACTATCCAATCACTGAACATCATTTTCCATCCCTTATTTGCATATGTGGACCTGATACTGTGGATCTACAGTATCCCCCTTCTGGCCCAGGGTGAGAACTTTAGTACATAACATTAACCTTGTGCCCAGATGCACCAGAGTAGCATTGCTCATCTGCCTTCCCAAAGGATCACTACTGATTCTTGCGTGGGGGTGGAGGTGTTGTGAGGAGTTCAGCACGGTGTAAGTGCAGCAACGGATCCAATCCAGCACTCTTGCTGATGTGCCCACACCATGCCAAGATCCCCACCCCCAGAACTGGCAGTGCTAGGAAGGCAGGTGAGCAATGCCACTAACCTGCCGACATCCACTAGCCAGGTGCTCAGTTGATGGTCTTGAGCAGGCCTAGGCAAACTCAGCCCTCTAGATGTTTTGAGACTACAATTCCCATCATCCCTGACCGCTGGTCCTGTTAGGTAGGGATGGTGGGAGTTGTAGTCCCAAAACACCTGGAGGGCCGAGTTTGCATATGCCTGGTCTTGAGATACCAAGCTGCACCTGCTAAACTACCCCTTCTATGCCCCTATTAAAAGTGCAGGAGCCTTTGTGATGACCAAGTGATGTAGCAAGGTAAGCCTCGTTTTCTGAGATGCAATTCCCCCTAGCGGGCTCTGATATACTGTTAGCAGTATTTAAGAGATCGTTGGCATCCTGTCTTCCATTATAACTATGGGTGGGTGGAGAGGAAAGGAGATGGCAGGATAGCTCAGTCGGTAAATCATGAGACTCTTAATCTCAGGCTTGTAGGCTTGAGCCCCACTTTGGGCAAAGGATTCCTGCATTGCAGGATTCTTACATTGCAGGGATTTATCTCCCTCTTGGACTACTGCAATGCCTACTATGTGGGGCTACCTTTGAAGGTAACCCAGAAACTACAACTAATCCAGAATCCAGAATGGACTACTGCAATGCATAGTCCAAGGTAACCCAGAAACTACAACTAATCCAGAATGCAGCAGATGGACAGGTGACTGGGAGCAGCTGCCGAGACCACATAACACCAGTCTTGAAAGACCTCCAACACGTTTCTGGGCACAATTCAAAGTGTTGGAGCTGACCTTTAAAGCCCTAAACAGCCTCAGTCCTGTATACCTGAAGGAACGTCTCCACCCCCATCATTCAGCCTGGACGCTGAGGTCCAGCTCCGAGGGCCTTCTGGCGGTTCCCTTGCCACGAGAAGCCAAGTTACAGGGAACCAGGCAGAGGGCCTTCTCGGTAGTGGCACCCGCCCTGTGAAATGCCCTCCCAGCAGATGTCAAAGAGAAAAACAACTACTATCATCAGTATGCCGATGACACCCAACTCTATCTGTTGATGGATGGCCATCCTGACTCGGCCCCAGACACACTGACCAGATGTTTGGAAGCTGTGGCTGGATGGTTACGTGGGAGCCGGTTGAAGCTAAATCCTTCGAAGACAGAGGTCCTGTGGCTGGGACGGGGCGATATGGGATTGGGGGGGGCAACTCCCATCTCTTGTGGGGCGCAATTAGTGCCAGCACCGTCCGTTAAGAGTTTGGGTGTAATCTTCGACACCTCCCTTTCCATGGAGGCGCAGATTGCGGCTATAACAAAGGCGGCATTTTTCCATCTCCGCCAAGCTAAGCAGTTGGCTCCTTACCTCTCTCGCCCTGACCTAGCCACTGTGATCCACGTGACGGTCACCTCCAGACTGGATTATTGTAACTCGCTCTACTTGAGACTGACCCAGAAACTCCAGCAGGTGCAGAATGCTGCAGCGAGACTCCTTACGAGGTCTTCGCTGTGAGATCACATTCACCCGGTGCTATACCAGCTGCACTGGCTCCCAGTGGAGTACAGGATCAGGTTTAAGGTGCTGGTTTTAACCTTTAAAGCCCTATACAGCCTAGGACCCTCGGACCTACGGGACCGCCTCTCCTGGTATGCCCCACAGAGAAACTTACGGTCTTCAAATAAAAACATCTTGAAGGTCCCAGGCCACAGAGAAGTTTGGCTGGCCTCAACTAGAGCCAGGGCTTTGTCGGCTGTGGCTCCGATCTGGTGGAACACTCTGTCACAAGAGACCAGGGCCCTGCGGGACTTGACATCTTTCCGCAGGGCCTGCAAGACAGAGCTGTTCCACCAGGCCTTTGGCCAGGGCACAGCCTGACTCCCTCCCTCTGCAATCTTCGCGGAGCTCTGGCCCAATGGTTGCCAGTGGCTTGAATTAATTAATTTTATAATGAATGATTTTAGAGTGTTGTTTATGCTGTACTTTTGTACTGTTTTATTGTTGTTAGCCACCCTGAGCCCGGCTTCGGCTGGGGAGGGCGGGATATAAATAAAATTTATTATTATTATTATTTATTATTATACTTTTAGATGACATCTGAAGGCAGCCCTGTTTAGGGAAGCTTTTAATGTTTAATAGACTATTGTATTTTAATATTCTGTTGGGTGGCTGGGAAAACCTAGCCAGATGGGCAGGGTATATGAAATATACTCAGAGTCGCAAAGTGATTTCATGCTCTTTATTCAGCTCATAGTGGTGAGGAGGAATGAATGCCAGCCCCCTCAAAGTATCTGCTTTATATGCATTATTTACACAATGGGCTGCACATGATTGGCTAATTCCGGAATTGTCCTGTAGGCCAATCAGGTTGTGGATTCACTTCTATCTGGAGCTGGATTGGGTGGTTCCTGCCAACCAATCATACTGCTGCATTGTTCTAGGACCAATCAGACTGTTGCATTCTGAATCCTATTGTTCTAGGACCAATCAGACTGCTGCAATTTGGATCCTATTGTTCTAGGACCAATCAGACTGCTGCAGTTTGGATCCTATTCAACTCAGTACATAACACCCCTCCCCTCTAAGTTCCAGTCCTGCCCGGGAGGTCGCATTCATAGTCCTCGAGGTACGCCGGCAGCCTACGTGTGCATTGTGGCCTGTGGTGTTCCCTGGTCCGGGGTTCAGGTTCTGGCTCATGTTCCAAGACTGCTGGCTCTGAGGGGCCTGTTTGGTCTGGCGCAACCGGCTCGCTCAGTCGTGGTTCTGGTTCCGGTGTCCTTTCGGCCTCGCAGGTCCTCTCTGTATTTACTGATTCTGCCTCTCCTGCTGGCCCCTCCTGCTCTATGGGCCTCACTGCCCCTCTGTTCCCTTGGGACTCCTCTGACCTTTCCTCCTCCTGGTTTTCTCCCGGGAATCGTCGCCATATCTGGTCGCAGTGGCGGCACCAGCATTGCCCCCCATCCGTTAGCACCTCGTACGACACGGGGCCAGTGACCCTGGTGACTGTGGCAGGTACCCATGCTGGGCCTGCCCCAAAATTCTTTGCGTACACTGGGTCCTGGGCCTCGAAGGTCCGGGGGTTCCTGCCTTCCCCCACCACTACCTCATCCTGAGCTCTATCGGGGTGAAGGCGGTCCAATCTGATTGCAAGGCGCCGACCCATTAGTAGTTCAGCAGGGCTCCGGCCAGTCGTTGAGCTGGGGGTGCTGTGCTGTGCTAGGAGGAATGTGGCAAGGCGGTACTCCCAATCCCCTTGCATCATGCGGCGAAGGGTGTCCTTGGTGGTCCGCACCATGCGTTCTGCTTGGCCATTGGTGGCAGGGTGGAATGGCGCCGAACGGATGTGGCGGATGGCGTTCTGCGCTGTGAAGGTTTGGAATTCTCCTGACGTAAATGCAGTCCCGTTGTCTGAGACGAGAGTGTCAGGGAGCCCGTGGGTTGCAAACAGCCTGCGTAGTACCCGGATGGCTGCGGATGTAGAAGTGGACGGTACCAGTGCGACTTCCAGCCATTTGGTGTAGGAGTCCACCACTATGAAGAATGTTTTCCCCTGAAAGGGGCCAGCGAAGTCCACATGCAGGCGTGACCATGGTGCTCGGGCGGACTCCCAGGACTGGACTGGGGCCCTTGGGGGATCTGGGCGGGATTCTTGGCAGGCCTGGCAGTGTTTGACCCAGGCCTCTATCTCTCCGTCGATCTCCGGCCACCACACATAACTCCTGGCCAGGGCCTTCATTCTTACTACCCCTGGGTGTATCTTGTGTAGGGCTGTGAGGACCCTTCTGCGGAGGGGCTGGGGAACCACGACCCTGCTTCCCCATAACAGGCACCCCTTGTGGGCCGACAGTTCATGTTTGCGGGTTGTGTAGCCAGCGAATTCTGGCCCAGGGCTGCTGCTGGGCCATCCCCTCCACACCCAGTCCAGGACCCGGGAGATGACCCTATCTTTCTTGGAATGGTGTGCAACTTCTTGTGCCTGAATGGGGCGGTAGGAAGCAGCTCCAGGCTCATAACCTCTTGTGCAGGTGCTGGGTCGGGGCCTGTTTCCGGTAGTGGTAGCCTGCTGAGGGCGTCCGCATGGCCCATCGCCTTCCCCGGGTGGTGAATCAGTGCATACTGGTAGCTGGCAAGGAAAATTGACCACCTGAGGACGCGAGGAGACAGCACTTGGGGGGGTCTGCTTTTCGGGGGCAAACAAGCCAAGCAACGGCTTGTGGTCAGTCATCACGGTGAAGGGCCACCCGTACAAGAAATCATGGAATTTTTTTACTCCCTTCACGATTGCCAGCCCCTCCTTGTCTATTTGCGAGTAGTTTCGCTCGGTTGCGTTGAGCGTCTGGGAAAAGTATGCTACCGGTACCTCTCTTCCATCCGGGAGTTGGTGTCCCAGGACAGCGCCAATGCCATAGGGCGAGGCGTCGCATGCTAGCACCACCGGCAGCCTCTCGTCAAAGTGTGCCAAGACCGAGTTTGAGACAAGCAAGTCCTTGACTGCCTGGAATGCAGCCTCCTGGCGCTGGCCCCACACCCAAGGGGCCCGCTTGTCCAGGAGTCTGTGTAGGGGCTCCACTACCGCCGCCTTGTGGGGAAGGAAGGAATGGTAAAAGTTCAATAGTCCCAAGAAGGCCTGAAGTTCAGTCTTGCTCTTGGGCGCTGGGGCATCACAAATGGCCCGTACCTTGTCCCCAGTCGGGTGGACCCCTTCTGCGTCCACCATAAATCCCAGAAAGTCCACCTGAGGCACTCCTAGTAGACATTTTTCCCGCTTCACCTTGAGACCCGCCGTCTGGAAACGGTGCAGAACGGTGCGGAGGCGGTCCTCAAACTCCTCTGGTGTGGGCCCGGCAATCAACACATCATCGAAGAAGGGGGTGACGCCAGGAATCCCTTTAAGGAGCGAGTCCATTAGATTCTGGAATATGCCTGGTGCCACACTGACCCCGAATTGCAGCCGCTTTACCCTGAACGCTCCTCTGTGCGTCACAATCGTCTGTGCCTCTGCTGTGGCCTCATCTACTGGCAGCTGTTGATATGCTTGGGCCAAGTCCAGCTTGCCAAATATTTTCGACCCAGCCAGGGTGGCAAGGACATGGCTGACCACTGGCACTGGGTATGCATGGGCCGTGAGGGCCTTGTTTATTGTACATTTGTAGTCTGCGCAGATGCGGACCAAACCATTAGGCTTGACGGGTGTGACGATTGGGGTTTCCCAGGGTGCATTAGGCACCGGCTCCAGCACTCCTTGCTCCACGAGCCGGTCCAATTCCTCGTCTATACGGGGTTTCAGGGCGAATGGGACCCGGCGGGCCTTGAGCCTGACTGGTCGTACTGCGGGGTCAAGCTGTAGAGCAATGGGGGGCCCCGTATACTGTCCCAATTTCCCACTGAAAACCCCTGGAAATTCCTTGCATATGGCGTCCACATCCACTTGTAAGGTAGTGTGGTTCACCCCGGTGATGGCTAGCCCCAGTGGTCCAAACCATGCCAATCCCAGTAAGCTAATGTAGGGGCCCTTG